TTTTACTGTTGCCTTTGTTATATTTGTGTTTTTTTATTTGTGCTGATAAATAAATAAAGGGAGACTAGTTTTATTTATATATATATATATTACAAAACTTGTAAAAAACATGTATGTAATTCTTACCTTCTGTAAGACAAACAACTAGCATGTAATAACACTGTTCACTATAATGAAAGTTTTGGTAATTTCTGGTAACAGGAATTGTGGACAAATTCTACCACAATAGAAATATGCTGTCAGTCGGAATAGATAGTTTGACAGTTTACTCAAATGTATTTATGAATGTGTAATAAATATATAAAGAAATAAAACAAATACACATATACAGCTGTAGAAATCATTGCTTATACTTGGTATTGGGCTGTTCAGTACTCTTAGAATGCAAATATAAATTGACTTAATTCATGTTGGATGCACTCTATTTTATTCATTTTTCTGTCATCCTGGTGCTTCAATTACTTCTATAACCATAATGGAGATGGTTTATCAGCAAATTTATTCCACTAAAAAGAGCAAAATATCTCCAATATAATGAGTCACACTTAATAGGACATCAGTGGAGCCCACATTTACATTTTATTTTTTAAAATGTTAACAAAAAAGCAATTAGAAATCCCTGACTACTTTTCAGTGGTTTTAGTGGTGCCTAATGATATAGATTTGATAGTATGCATGAATATAATAGAATGCACAGTATCAAATTTATGTCATTGGACACAATGTATCAAGAAAACAGGCAAGTGGGAGTGATAATGTTTGATAAATATAGGGAAATCAGAAATATCACTCTGACCCAAAACCCAGGGCAAATTATTGATATAAATTAAAATGAAAATAGCTGCTGAGTACAATGGGAAAAGCGGGTCTTGGTTAAGACTTATTCTATCAATCCTCTTTTTTTTAATATAGGATTTATCACCACTGTTCTAGTCTTGAAGAACTACTGAACTGGGCTTACCTGCTGCGTCTGGTACCTTTGCTGGGCCTGGGAGAGGTACTGGGTCTGAGGAGGCAGGTGCTGAGGTTGTGGTTGCTGGTTGTAATATGGCTGTTGGCAGTAACCAGTTACACCTTGTGGACCATACTGAGATGGCATCTGTTAGGGGGGGAAAAGCCAATACAGTTAGGAATTGAGGACAAAAATCTATGTGTTCAACTCCTAAAAATCATAAACATAATACCAAATGCCATGGTAAGAAGTCTCTCCCAATGGAATGAGTTAATTTTAAACTTAAAGGAATAATGCAGTTCGCTAAACTCTATTTTGGAGATATTCTGTCAAGGGAAACATGAAAAAAAAATTCTACCACACTGGTTTTACTGAATAATTTCTTTTCATGTTCTCTGAAACATCCAAAGAAACCATTACCAATTATTCTTGCTCACTGAACTTATACTCAAGAACAGCAAAAGGGTTTCTATAGAATATTCATAGCTTGCTAGTCAGTAGTATTTATCCAAGAAGTTATCAGAATGACTCTATTTACACCTTTAAAATTTTCCACCTAAAGTTTCTGCTGCATGAATCATCCCACGTTTCAAGGTATAACAGAAAAAAAAATTGGAACATAGGTGTATGTGCATACTAATTTTTTAGAAAAAAAAACCCATTTCAATAAGTTTTAGAGAACTATTATAATAGTATCCTTATATCAAAGGACATACAGGAGAGTTGAGTCTTTTGAAAAACCAGTTAAATGATTTACATTTTGCAAGTCCATCCAGCTGCAAAGGGGAAGGCTAGCATATATTTATAGATATATGTTTTGACTGGTATTTTGCCAGTTAAGAATTAAAAGGATGTGTAGAAAAATGGAAGATGGGAATAATCACAGACACCCCCCCCCCCAATATATATATATATATACATAGAAGCTATAAACCATAGAAGGAAATTCAGAAAGACTAAAGCAAATGAAAAGTACAAGCAAGAAAAAAAATGAAAACTGTGTTAAAAAGGACCAAAGCAGAAACTAAGTAAAGAGAGATTTAGGTATAATATGGCTAATACGAACAAGTTGAAGTTTCTGGGAATAGATAATTATATCTGAATACCCTGAAGGTCATCTCAGGGAACTGTGAACCTTCTACCTTCTTTGAAAAATCATTGGGAACATTTAGACTTGGCAGAAGATTGGAGACAGCAGATACTGTTCTTAAATAGAAAAGAGCATGAAAATGATCCAGGTAACTACAGACTGCTTGATGTAAATAACAGACAAAATTCTGAAAGAGATTATTAAACTGTCAGTTTAAATACACTAAGAAAATAATGCATCACCCATCAGTCAGGATGGGCTTATTAATAATAAATTAAGCCAAATTAAACTGATCACTCTTTTTGATAGTGTACTAGTTTAGTCAATCAGTGGGATGTGGCAGACAACTTGTATTCTGCAAATCAGGCAAAAAGTTTGATATTCTAGTACAAAAGATATCAAATACTGGATGATTTGTGCTAGAATTAGATAGATTTAAAGTTGGTTGTACACCAATGACTCCAAGTCAAGTGGAAAGAATGTGTTAAACAGTGTAACTTAGAGGTTTGTGCTATTCTATATATCTATAAATTACTGGTTGTAAACTATTATAAGATTGTAAAATATTATTATTAACTGTAGATAATACAAAGGTGATAGTAATACTTTAGAACAAACTATCAAGATTCAGGAAGATGTTGACAGTGGATAGGAAGCAGTAGGCATATGAATTTTAGAAGTAAAGTCCTTTTTTGGAAATGGCAAAAAGAAGATGGAAAAGCATAGGGAGCAGCAGTACAAGTAAAAAAGATGTTGAAGTCTTGGTGGATTGAAAACCGAACATAAGAACCAAACAGTGTTGAAGCTGCAAAAAGGGAAATGCAATTTTACCAAAATCATATTGCGTCCAGTTCTGGGCATTGTATTTTAGGAGTGATATAGACCAACTGGAGCATATTCAAAGGAGAGCGACCAAAATGATAAGGAGATAGGGAGAAAAAAAACAAACTTGTGAGGATAGCTAGAGAAAAACCCGTACAGTTAGCTTGAAGAAAAAGAGGGCAGAGGGGAGAAAAACATGAAAGCTGTTTTTAAAAAATGGAATAGCTGTCATGTAGAAAATAAGCTAGACTTTTCAGTTATTAAAGATAAACCCAGAAACACAGGATTTAAATTACCCAGAAGCAGTTTTAAACTGGAGATCAAAAAGAATTTCGTAAAAGTAAGAACTATTCAACAATGCCCCCAGAGGTGCTGAATTCTCCTTGGTGGAAAAATTTAAACAATTAAAGTATGCTATCTATCAGGGATTTGGTAGTGGATTTCTTCAATGGGCAGGGTGTTAAATTGGGTGATATCTAAGTTTACACCTCATAATTTTATAACCAGGTAACTACTATACAGTATTATAAATAAATTCATAATATTTAGTCAATAAAATGACAAGTTGCCAGTCCTTCAACTGAATAGCAGGAGCTTCACTGTATTTGCAGATTCCAAAGACTGTTTCCCAACCACAAAATCAACATTATTTAACATACTGAACCCACATTTCCTCAACAGCACTGAAGCAACCGCAGAGGCCTTGATTAAAGCTGCAGTAGTGACAAAGTAGACTAGCTGGCCTTTCCGTAAATACTACAGCCTAGCAAGCTTCTGTCTGGGAATATGGAATTTGTTGCTGCACTGAATGCATTGAAGGAAAATATTTTCAAGCTCTTAAGATGCCCCCCAGACAAAACACGCTGATGGTGCTGGATCTGCCAATAGTCCAGACCAGGGATCTCCAACCTTGGCATCTTCCCAGCTTTGCTAGCTGAGGAATTCTGAGAGTTGACGTTCACAGGTCTTAAAATTGCCAAGGTTGGAGACCCCCGATTCAGACCATCATGATGATGGTAATCATTGAGATAAAAGAAATGGAGAAGAAAAATGAAATCCTAAGCAATCTTAGAATAATTTTTATCCATGAGGATTTCTCCTGCTGGTATAGCTATGGCAGTTGAAAAGAAATTGATGTAAATGCCAAAGAATGCCTTGGCCATGCATGGTAAATTAGAAATTGTTATTTATCCTATGGAAGTTCAGGAACAGAATACTATGAATGAAGCCCTGTGCAGGCACAGACGCTCATGATGGTGTGGTATAGAAAGCACAAAGATCAAATAATGATCTATAATGACATAGAAAATCTTGAAAGAACCATTTCTCTACCTCTTTTACAGTGAAAGTGGTCTTAAGTTTTTTTTAATAAAACGGAGTACGTTTTGTGAAAGGTAATATGCAAAACTGTATCAGGGCTAACTTACCCAAATTCGTTCTCTTTTACTTTCAATATTAAACAGCAAATTACTTCAACAAGTTCATGTATCTTGCCTGAATCATCTCTCCAATTCTTAGTTAGGTAGTTTTTGGCAGGAGATATGTGAATATTCATATTCCCTATTCCCTTACCTTGATATTAAAACAATTTTCAAGGGTTGAATCCAAAAATTAACTTGAACAAAACTGCTTTCCGCTCAGTGTTAAACCCTTAAATCCTATTGCAACTATTAAATACTTAATGAAACTGTTAGCATATCAAAAGAAAATTTCTCTCACTTTTCCAGAATTAAATATGGGTATGTTTGTTTATTTGATTTTTAAACTCCTTTTATTTTTGATCAATTCAAGGCAATAAGGATACCTAAGCTCCAGAATTGGGTTCCTACCAGTTCGGCCGAGTAGGTAGTAATTTGGACTGCCAGGCTCCCGAACTGGTTCTATCGCCATTGCCGCCATCTTGATTTTCAGTTCTGCACATGCGCAGAACAATCTGCATTTCGAAAATGCAATTCTCCCCACTTTTCTAAAGTTGTGCACACCTTTTAAAGTGCAAATGCACCCCAAACCGGCAGTAATGCCAGCAGCAACCCACCCCCTGCTAAGCTCCCTCCTCCTCCTAGTTTCTCCATAACAATCTGGTTCTATACATAGGCATACATAGGCATACTACATATTTCCACAAGATTTAGAAATTGGATGACTACTTTCTAAAGCATTACTTAGCAACTTGCAGAAAAATACAGACAAATATTTTTTAAAAGCAAGATTATCACACATTTATTTTTCTTTCACTGCAGGGAGTTTGGATTGAGATCAGCAGATACCAATGTAGCAGATTCTAACCTACTGGCCAGGTTGCTCAAGACCTTGCTCAACCCACTGATTTGTGTCCAGAACACATAGTACACATAGTCATTGCTTAACAATGGCAATTGTGATTGATAACTTGGTTGCTAAGCAACACAGCCATGAAGCATGATGTCACATGATTATGCCAATTTACAATGGCTGTCTAATTAAACAAACCCTGCACAGTCATTTGTTCCAACTTCACATGATTGCCATTTATAACCTTCTGACAGTTTTCCTATTTTCCCTATTTGCTTGTTGAAAGCTGGCAATGAAAGTCAAAAGCAGAGATGATGTGATAGTGGGACACTGTAATTGCAATTGCTAAGCACCCGAATTGCAATCGCGTGACTGCAGGGACACTGCAACAGCCACAACTACAAGAGCCAGGAGTAAGTATCTTTGCTGAGTACTGAAACTACTAACTTCCGAAACATGCCTGTTGGAATGGAGGAAAGGCCTATCCCGACTTTGCAACCTGCAAGTCCTCTTTACTGAAATCCAAGTGGAAAGCAATAACTTTCTGGGTAGGCTGGCAGAAAAGACTGCAATGCTGATCACATGATTTCAGGTTGCTTGGCAACAAAGTGCAGAAGGACCAACTTATAGGAATGACTTATAACTTTCTGTGCCAGCTTCCCTGTTGAGTTTGCTTGTGGGGAGTTGCCAGGGAAGGTTGCAGGTTATGACCACGTTAACCATGGCTCACTCTAATATTACAATCATGATCACGTGGCTTGGGGAATGCTATGACAACCAAATTTTGCAGACCAGTTTCAAATTCCCCCTTGTTCAGTGGCATTGCAATTTTGAATGGTTGCTAAAACGTGGGTCATAACTCGAGGACTATCTGTATTCTCTATTGTATCATGCCCATTATGCAAATGAAACAATAATAATATGTTCCATAAATAATCTTTCTCAGTGCTTTTTTATTAGTAAA